TTTTCCATAAGGAATGGCATTTTATGGTATACAAATATAGTACGTTACTCTAAATTAATATACGGTAATTTTTTATCTAACCATCCCCACAATGCCCAAAGCATCAACTAATTGCCAACCACAAAGAATCACCAACCAGAAAAATCAAGTCAGAGTTACCTTCAATGATGAGATATATTCTAAACTCCATAACGATTCATTCATTTGATTACTTACTATTTGTATAAGCTACATAATCTAATCAAACTAAATTTCAAAATATGACAGATATTTGTCTGTAACATTACCTGGTACGTCTTATCAGCCCACAATTGACACAAATATAGCCACACCTCTTTTTCGATATCTTCATGAAACCTTCATCCCATACCAATAAAATTAAACGCTTCAAAATATTGAACAACATAATTCATGAACTAGAAGGGAATATTAAACTAGACTAAAAAAAACTATCTTACTCGAATGTATAATTCTCACTCTTCTCTTCAATCATTTAACCAACAGCACAACACACACATGCTTCTTGGTTGATTACAACACAAGTAAACTTCAAAAACTAAACAAAACACACCAAACACGAATTCTTCTATAATTGTTGAGAAACCATTGTAAATTTCCAATTTCTTCTTTTCTTTCATTTTATCTTCTTGGCCATCAAATGATTATGGAAAAACAAAACTTTAGCCAATATTAATAGTGGAAGTAACTGGAAAAGCAAGACCCAATAATAATCCGACAAAAAATAAAGTTCAACTAAAGTGCCTTTATAGAAGTCCTATCGTTATCTCTTTCTTTAGATTGTTTAAGTGCTAAACTCGAATTCCCTCCACAATCTTTTCATACAAGCTGAAAATAAGTCTAGAAATTGCAACACCCAGACTCGTAGATTCAGCTAATTCCAACAAAATTAACTCAAATTCCAATGCTAATACCTATATCTACATTCACATATGTAAAAAACGAGTATGGTGAGAATCGATTGAATTACCCGTAGCTCTCTAGGGTTTGGTCGTCCTTCAAGATTTGCCATCCCCGGCACTGAGGTGGTGGTTTTGCAACAAAAGGAGGTGCTACACTACGGGCAACAGCAGCGGATTGGTGATGGCAGATCCAACACTGATGGTGATTGTTGTTGTTGGGGATGGGAGTTTAAACACTAGGGTTTCTACAGGGGAGAGAAAGATAATAAACCCTAGCTATTGCTAAGTGAGTGATTGCTAAGTGAGTGGTGAGAGGGGGAGACGGGGAGAGATACGGTTTGATTTGTTTTTGTTTCCACTGTGAATACTATATATATATATAGACAAATAAATATAATCACACTTAATTAAAAATATATATATATAATCACACTTTATTAAAAAGTGACATAAAAAATAAATATTATCACACATAATTAAATTAAGTGTAACTAAAATATCAATCTAATTTTTTTTTTTTTATCACACTTTTAATAAAAATGAGATATTTTCATTTATCCAAGTGTGAAATTTAACTCTTTTTTTTTTATGTAGTAGTAGTGATGGGTGCCGATCTCACGGACAAAATTTTCCGTGAAATGACAATAGTAGTGCTTGTAGAGCCTACGTTTACATGAGTGCTGATTTACGGTTTCCTGTTGACAAAATTTTCGTGAAAGGTTGGAATTGTTTTGAGATTTCCAATGTGTGATTTACTGCCCTGTTTTCTATGGTAAAGGAGATGATTTTTGAATTCTGATATTAACCTGGCATTGTATGGTTTTGGAAAGAGATATAAAATATTTTGGCACAAGCATTGCATATGCATTAACCTTATATCTTTGTTAAGATTCATACACTGTGTTGGATTATTTCTATTGGGTTTTGGCTCACCTTATGTGGGAAAAACATTCCAGGTGCTAATGATATACCTCCGCCAAGGCAATAGCTTGGGACGACTTAGAGTAAGAGCTTCATTTTGTTTTGTTGATTATTGTATATGTTTTGTTCAAGCCACGGGCCTTTAACTGTATTGGACTTAAATCCACTTTTATTGTAACCAAGTACCGTCTTGAAAAATTGTAAGTCTTGAGGGCATTTCTTATTTGTTTAACTTTCATTATATTTCTTTATTATGTAACATATGCTATAAATTCAAGGATAAGCTTGTGAATGTATATCAGCATATGTTACTCTTTTGAAAAACTTAATTGAAAACAAATGGAAGATAATTACTTTATCATTTTGTTACTTATTAATGTTGTAGATAGGTTGTATTTATTTCGGGGCGTTACAGGCTATATTGACTCCTCGGAATTTCCTAGGATCTTACTTGGTTATTACCCAAATGACTCATTAGTGATGTTTCCTTCTCTTGTAACCTTAGATAAATCTTGTATTTATGTTAATATATTTTGTAATGTTCTCGATTTTTAAGGTGCCACACATTCTTCATGAAAGCTTTGGATATTCTCTTTGAATTGTTGTAGGAGTTTTGCTAACTCTCAACTTGTCAATCTCAAGTTGTCCATTCCATTTTGCTTGGTATTTTTAACACGTCATTGGAATTCCTACTTATTCCAACCCTTTAAAATATTCAAATTCAACCTTTTAAATCTCCAAATTTAAGACGTATTAGTATAACTTTCTCTCAATAAATGCAAACTATAAAGATAGCAATTTAAGCAAGAGACTAAAATTATTTATGATTGACCAATATAAACACTAGATTTATAACCAGTCAATAAAGAGATGACACATAAGCAAGAGAGTGGATCTTCTTCCTTTAATCCCACTGTCCACTATGGTGGGATTGATCTCTCAAATTAGTCAGTCATCACAACCAGATATCGATCCAAAATATATATATGTTTTGTAAGTGTGTTGAGGAAAGATTAAAAACAAAGAAGAACTTTGAGTTGCTTGGAGTTTTTGGTGATTCAACATTACATTATTGTCCTCGAACCCCTTACAGCCATTAATGGACACCTATTAATGACTTCATAAGTTTATGAGACTTATCCTTTTGAATGAACAATATGGAATTAATATGCCCAGTGACTAAGGAAGGGAGGGCATATTTTTGAAGATTTAATTTTAATTTCTATGTTTGAATTTTAAATTTGTTGATGAAAATGACAAGAAAAAAAAATATTTGAAAATTCTAAAAGTTGGGGAATAACAAATGTCTTCAAATAATAATAAGTTTGATAAAACTTCACATCAGTTTCCTTGTCTTCATTTATTTTTAATTGTTTTCTATTTGGATTAAAATTTTATTTATTTTGATGTACTTAATATAAATGTACTTAAAATTTTAATATTTATGAGAAAACCGAAAAATTTCACTAAAAAACAAAAAGTAAGAAAATGTGCTTTTTTTCTTTTCTTTTATTTTTATTTTTAGTATGCCTTTTTCAAATTTCTTCACATTTTTTTAAAAATACTTTTTAGCTACGTCTAGACTAAGTGTATTAAAAAAAATAATTAAAAAAAACACTAAATACTAAAATCACGAAAAACAAAAACTAAAAAATAATTTTACCATTTGAAAACCAAACAATGTGTTTTAGGTCTTTTACTAATGTTTTCATTCGTTTATTAGAATAAAATGATAATTTTTTCAAAATATTCATTCTCATATTTGGTAAAGTAAAAAATTATGGAGATCCATTCTAAACAAAATTATCATTTTTTATTATAAAATAATTATTATTTCATAGGAAAGTAAGAATGACCATTCCATTCCATTCAATTCAATTTTTTTTTTTAGTGAACCAAACACCAAACATTACTTCAGATTATTCCCAAAAAAAATAAATAAATAAAATAAAGAAGAAGAAGAAGAAGAAGAAGAAGAAGAAGAGGAAGGAGAAGAAGAGAGAGAGAGAGAGAGAACTAAATGAAATAAAAGATTAAATATATGATAGGAATTTTGAATTGTAATGCTCCATTTGTTTGGGCAGAAAGACATGCGAAAAAATATTTTTCATTTTTAAAAGGTAGAAATTATTTCCTGAACTATTAGTACCACCACATTACAACCTGTACCATCACCTCCACCATCACCACGACCACAACCATAGCACCACTGTCACTTCCACAACGACAGCTACACCAACTACCATCTCTACCACATTACTACCACTATCACACCACCACTATCGCTGCCACCATAGCCGCCATCACCACCCACAAGACCTCCACCCTATACCACTAATTTCAAGAACCCAACCAAAAAATGTTTTCTGAAAAAAAAAAATGCAATTCAAAATGTTTTTCTATAACTTTTTTTTAAAAAAAATGTTTTCCGTTGAAACAAATAGAACAATATTATATAGTACAAGTTATATCATGTGATAAATAGATAAAATGAGTGTACACTTTTGTATTATGTTCGATTAAGATGGAATAAAAATGTGATTATTTTTTATTATTGGTCTATTAGTATTGTGTTAATGATAATGTGGTAATTAATGTAAATGTAACATTTTCGTTTTTAAAATTCTTTTTCTAGTTGTCAAATAATTTTTTTTAAACTCTAACATCAAAAAAATTGACACATAACTTGTCATTGTGAAGTAAATTGTAAAGTGGTGTTTGATAAAATTGAAAGCTGAAGGCAAAAATTGAAAATTAAGTAATGAAAACTAAATGCTAAAGTTTTTAAACTGTAAAGCTATTTGATTAAAAAATCGAGTGTCAAACTAGAACATATTGTTTAATATATACGAGATCAAATTCAAAATTTATTATTTTTAAATCATAACTTTTAATTTTTTTATTATAATAAGAGCAACAACAATAGCAATAGTGGTGAAGGCAAAGACATAGTGGTTCTAGTGATGGTGGATAGATAATGTAGTGGATGTAAAAAGGATGGAGACAGTGGTGTAATGATAGTGGTGGTTATGATAATGGTGACCATAGTTGTAGAGGTGAAGGGTAGTTATAATAGTGGTGGAGAAAAGGTGGTAATGCCATGGCTGGTAACTATGGTGGTAGTAGTGAAATGATGATAATACTTATACAATTATAACAATGGTGGAGGTTGTTGTGGTGGCGGTGGCAATAGTTGTTGTAGTGGTGATGGTGGTAGTGGTGGTGGTGGCAGTAAGAGTGGTGATGGCGGTGACAGTGGCGGTGATAGAAGTGGTGGCAGCAACGGTGAAGTTTTAACCATGTATGTATGTGCATTATTATTTATACATTCAGTCAGAATTAAGTATGTATCATATCACTTACATTTTTGTTAACTTTTAGCCTGTATTTTAATAGCTATTTAAACTTTTAAGTGATACTTATTGTGATTATCAAACAGATTTAATTCATTTTTACTTAATGCATTCTGTTTTATGCATTGCATTAAATTATCAGACACCAAGTGTCAATTTTTTATCTATCTTCTATACTATTATTAAGTGAAGGTTGGACTTGATATCCAAGCCTTTGGTTGATTCTCCTCATACCAAATGTCCCTGATTTAAATAAATATATAATTAAATTAGATAAAGGAGAGGAGTGAGACTCAAACCTTAAGTAGCGAATTTACTAAAGAAGACAATTACCACTTGATTGATACCCAATATATATATATATATAATAAGCATTTTGTTTTATTTTTATTTATCTGATTTATACACATATCGCGTGTGCCAACTGATAGTATTCCATAGAACAAACGGAAGATAATTTTAGAAAACTAACAAAGAAAAAAAAAACAATAAGACAAAATCAGGCCTAATTAAAAAAAGCCCATATTAAAATTCCATTGAACTCCTAAGTGAAGGCTGGCATTTGATGAAAACAAGGGGTCAAAACCAGCAAAAACAACAAAAAGAAAGCCATGGCACATTTTCCTCACGATGTGTTTGGTTAGGAGACTTAGAAAGGGATTTAGAAAGGAAAAAGAAAAAGATGTATGAGGTAAAATGCAGGTATATTTTATTCACATTTTACTTATATTTTCCATTTCTCTTTCTAAAACACTTCTCAAATTCCTCAACCAACCACAGCATAAATGAAAGGGTCTCTTATATTATAGTATAGATATATGTATCTTGTATGTGTGTGGATGGTTGGGTCACATTGTTGTCATGAATTACTTGAAATTAAAGAGAATAAAATAGAAAAATTAGAAGCCATGAGATGATTGTGCACCAAAGTAGTTAATACCTTGAATGATTGTGAGCTTGTCCTACTACCACGTATCTATATATATTTGTCCTACCATCCCATATCAAATATCTATAATATATGTATACCACCCTAATATGTATCTGATGAATAAATTTGTTTCCATGGATCATCATAAACTCAATCTTCTCTTGATTATTACTATCATTCTCCTCTCATCAACCAATGCAAGAACCAGCACTTCCATTGTCTCTAGAACAACTAAACCCACTCGTCGGCTGGTCTCAAAACTTATCCATCACGATTCAATTTTGTTTCCATATTATAATAGTCACAACGTCACCCTTTCAAAGTCTGAACTTGTTTCAACTATACAAAGCTCCACGGCTCGCTATACCTATCTAAAGGAAAGCACTAAAAACCCTTCCACCACAAAGGATGTCCGGGGTGGTGTCATACCCGACTATGGAGGTATTATTTTCCTTGTAAATATCTCAATTGGACAGCCGCCCGTTCCACAACTTGTAGCGATGGAAACTAGAAGCAATCTATTCTGGGTTCAATGTCACCCTTGCATAAATTGTTTCGAGCAATTAAGCACCATATTTGATCCTTCCAAGTCGTCAACATATTATAACATATCATGCAACTCTACTTCTTGCGTTTCTGACACCCTTCAAGAAAATTGTGTTTCTGTCACTAGTTGCCCATACCACTATAAATATGCCGATAGCTCGACCACAAGAGGAGATCTTGGCAGGGAAGAGGTTAGGTTCATTTCCAATAAAGGCACAAGTGTTCTTTCTAATATTTTGTTTGGGTGTGGTCATGAAAATTATGGTTTCGTTGAAGCCAAAGAAAATTATGGTTACAATGGCATTGGCTTAGCAAGTGGGGTTCTTGGACATGGTCCAAGTAAGAAGTTATCTCTGGTTTCACACTTAGGTTCCAGATTCTCATATTGCATTGGAAATATGAGTGATCTTGACTATGAGTATAACCGGTTGGTTATAGGGGATGATGAAGCAGAAATTAAAGGCTATTCAACACCAATACAAGTGTTTAACAATATGTATTGCCTAACCGTCGAAGGAATAAGCGTAGGAGAGAAACAGCTTGAGATCGATCCACATACATTCAAAAGAAACCCATCGTCTGGTGAGGGTGGAGTGATCATAGACACTGGAACAACACTAACCATTCTAGACACAGGTGGGTACATCCCGCTTATTACAGAAGTGCAAAGCTTGATTGGCGGAATTTTGCCAAAATTGGATAACTTGTCCAACCCTGACAGGTTGTGCTACAAGGGTAGAGTGAGCACAGACCTTATAGGGTTTCCAGTTGTGACATTCCACTTTGCGCAAGGGCTAGATTTGGTGTTAGATGTGGAGGCCATGTTTGACCAAGACCGTGAAATGGACAGGTTTTGCATGGCAGTGTTGCCGGCTTATTTTCAAGACTTAAGTGTGATTGGTATTAGGGCTCAACAGTATTACAATGTTGCTTATGACCTAGCTAGTATGAAGCTCTATTTCCAGAGGATAGATTGTGAAGTTCTTGACTGACAACAGCAACAACTGCAACTGCAACTGCAATTTTTTTTTTTTTTTTTTTTTTTTTTTTTTTTTGTTTTTTTTTTTTGTTTTTGTTTTTGTTTTTTTTTTTTTTGTTTGTTTGTTTGTGTTTGTAAGGAAATATGGGTACCTTAGGTGGAAAAACACCAACGAATTAAGATCTGAAAGCTTGAATTACAAGCCTTTCTTGTTGCAAACTCCACATCACTAAAGAGACTACTAAAGTCTCCCTTATGGTACACACACCCCAAATTCCAAGGTACAAAAATGGTGATCGTGGAGAGATGAATAGAGAGAGAAATAAGTTTTGAGTGATCTCTTACGGGTAACCTATCATACAACATTCGTATATTTCTTTTCTCCATATTTGATATATAGAGATACATGGATGGAGATCCACACTCAATAAAACTCTCTTATAGATAATTAAATAATTATCTTCTCATATAATTGTTACGCCCTGATTTTTATTAACCGAATCCATTACTAAATCCATTATAATAATTCCATTTATTTGAGAATATGAACAAGAATAAATAACAACATTCTCTCACGATAACATTGATGATATAAATAAGACATGATACAATGCCCTTAGGTTTACATTGAATGACCATAAATAAATAAATAAAAAGGGATTTACACCCTTATTCAATACACGGCACACGGCCAACAAATAAAGGGCCCCGTGGCCAACAATTAATAGATTTCTAGTCCTACACGGTTTTTCCAGTCTTGTACCTGAAAAAGTTTGTCAACACGTGGGATGAGCACTATGCCCACTAGAGATCCCAATGATTCTAACCAATCACAACCTATTGATAAAAATGATCATGAATGTATCAAGACATACCATATAAATAGTGTGGCATTAATATCCAAAATATACACATATAGGTGTGTTTTTCTCAAAACGTTTCTCTTGATACATTTCAATATGAAATCAATTCTTCTTTTTCACATTCCCATCACTACTCCCAAAGAAAATATTTTAAAACCTCATTGTTTCTTTGATAAAACTTCTCACATTAACATAAAGGAATCTCTCTTAAACAACTATTCTGAAAACATAACCTCACATTCAAATCATAATCCCCATCATACCTTTCAATACACCATAAGTGTATGCATCCCAATATATATCTGTAACCTTTTTCTAGCCATAGGCCCAAGGATTTACAAAAGGTGACCAGTATGAAACCGCTAAAACATATATACATTCAATCAAGATAACTGAAGTAATACATACAACCAACCTCATCCCAATATATATATATATATATCTACAACGAGATAACTGAAGTAATACATACTACCACTCTCATCTCCACAATATGAAAACCGACAACACGTATAAATATCCAAATGAGATAACTGAAGTAATACATACTACCAAACTCCTCTCCGCCGGCCTACAGCCGCTAGAAGAAAAAACACTTTTGGCAACCACCTATTTTGAGTTAGTCGCAAATAGTCCACTTTTTGCGACTAAAATTTTTTTGGTCATTGATGGGTATGTTTTCGCGATGCACATTTTTTTGGTGGTTAATAGCTAATTTTTGGCGACCAAATACAAATTTGATCGCAGAAGGTCATCAAAAAATAAGTTGGTCGCGAATAACTTAACTATTGGCGACCAACTACAAATTTAGTCACGGAAGATCACCTTTTGGCGACCAAAAAATAAGTTGGTCGCGAATGACTTAACTATTGGTGACCAACTGCAAATTTGGTTGCGGAAGATCACCTTTTTTGCGACCAAAAAACAAGTTGGTTGTGGAAAGTTATAGTGGGATAAATTTAAAAAAAAATAGGTACTACTGTAATTACATTATATTTTTCTGTTTAGGCATTGAAGGTTTTATGAAATAATATATGACCCAATTTTTATGGGTTATATATTTTCTTTGCCAAATGTGAACAACAAGCATGTTATTGGCAGAGTGGATTGAGTGCATGGAGAGTGACTCCTTGGTCAGGAGTTCAATTCCCAGGCAGCGCAAAAGAATATTTTTCTTTGGGTGAAGGCACTGACTTTTAGTGACCAACTATAACTTTGGTCACTAAAAGTTACCTTTTGGCTAATATGGATTGGACTTTCCGCAACCAATTATTTGGCCTCCAATGGTCCCTTTAAGCAGCCAACTATAACTTTGGTCGCAGAAAACTATCTATGATGAGGCTTTAGTGACCAACTCACGACCAACATATTTTGATCGTGACAACATTGTAGCGACCAAATATGGTACTTTTTGTGACCAAAACGTTAGCTGCGGAAAGTGTAATTTCTTGTAGTAAGCACGGATGGCAAATCGAACAATACTAATAACACATAACACTTTACCGGCCTCACACGGAAGGAGGTGCTCCTCAGGTCGTACTTTATCAGGCGCAAACCGGAGGGAACGAAGAACCTATCAAAAGGAGCCACGCTTTGCTGGCTATGATACGGCGAAAAACGTACCCCCTTTTCACACTTTACCAGTCGCAAACCAGAAAGGATGAGAAAACCTCTGTCAAGGCACTACGCTTTGCCAGATATAATATAGCAGGAAATAGACTCCCAAACATCATCACAATAAAAACATAATCATGCTAACCAACATCAATAATACATGGTGTAATACATACATCTAGTCTGATCACCACCATAACAATCATAATCAGTTAATTAAATTAACTCATTTCTTTTAAAATATACTCCGCGAACCGTAGTTCCACATGAGTTTTCCTTTATTTCAAACATCTCCAAACACATCATAGAGTACTAAACGTCAAGACCATAACTATTCAACAATAGACCCTCGATGGAAACAACACTTACAAACGTTCTAATTACCTCCTTAACAACAAAATTCATAACTCAACAATGGAATCATCTATTCACAATGTTCACTTACAACCAACATTATATCATCTCATATCACATAGTCCATCCTACAATAGTACTCATGGCATATATCTAGCAACAATCAACACCATCCTCTACCGATGACTAAGGACAAAACTCTAGACGCCAACTATATAATCCGAGAGAATAGATACACCCTGAGGTAATTCCACCTTCCCGTTCATCGTAAACTCTCAAGTTTTATAAAAATGGGTAATTACTTCCATGTTGTTTTGAAAACAAAACCTTACCACTCCAAATCCCAACAAACACCACAGTGGCCACATCCACCAACATTAAACCAAAACCCAATTATTCATAAACAACCACATTATAACCCCATTTCTATTTAACATTGAACTTCTCTTTTATATTCCAAATCAATAAACTAAACACCCAACCTTTCCAATTTACATCCGACACATGGTATATAACCCACAACCAGTCATGCACAACCCACGAACTCACTAATATAAACCCAAATCCATCCATATGCTTTTTAACAAAATCAACCACAAACTATGCTTTTAAATGTAGTGAAAATATCACAAGCCTATCTATAAAGAGGTATTAAAGAGAAGCTCAAAAATCCCTACATCTTGATGCGAAGAGGGAAAAAGCTAAAAATCCACCGGCGATGAAAACGCGATCCGCCCAAGTCAAAAGAAAGCCCCCACGACCCTCTACATTTTGATCTATAGGACTAGGGGTAGAAAATTGGTGTAACTAGATGAAACCCAAGCTTTTAGGTCCAAGAAACCCTAAAAGCTCACTTTGGCCTTATATAGGCGCACAGTCACTTGAGTGCAAGAAATGAAGCTCGAGCGTCTAGACACAAAAGTGTGACTGCTCGAGCACAAGAAGTGTCGCTCGAGCGTAGAATACAGACTCTCAGAAGTTTTACAGACAAGTGACCACCACTCGAGTACAAAAAGTACCGCTCAAGCGAACATCGCTCGAGCGTAAGAATGACAACTCCCAATATCTTTGCAGACCTGCAAAAGTGCTAGAAGTTCACAATGACCGCTCGAGCATAGGAAGTGCCACTCGAGTACAGAAGAAAAATTTTGGGCAACACGAGCTTGAGAAACAAGTCACCACCATGTTCCCAACACAGCCAAGACACTCCGATAACCAGCCCAATAAACAATGAGTAGAATCAAGACCTAAACAACCAAAAGGCAATGAAACCCGGATCCAAAACATCAACGGGTCAGATTCGAACCAAGCTCGCTATAACAATTCAAATCACTAAAGATAATACAATAATTATCTTATTATTATGTGTAAATTATGCAAATGATCCCCGTGGTTTACATGATGTTCCAATTTGGTCCATGTTGTTTCAATTTGCTCGATTTTGTCCCTTAATTTAACAGATTGTGTCATTTGAGTCTAATAAATAATGGTTGTTAAGTTTGGTAGACAAAAAGTCTACACAATGTGTCAATTTGATCCTTTTAATTTACACAATGTGTCAATTTGGTCACTATTATTTTAATTTGCTTGATTTTGACAGGGACCAAATTGGCACATTGTGTAAACTACAGGGACTAGTTTGACTTTTTGTCCACCAAACGTAACAACCATTTATTATTAGACTAAAATGACACTATCTATTAAATTAAGGGGCAAAATTGAGCAAAGTGAAACCACATGGACCAAATTGACATATCGTATTACGATTCTAGTTTAGACCCGACCGATTTGATGTTTTGGATCTGAGTTTCATTGTCTTATACAGTTGTTCATGTCTTATTTCCCCTTACTTCTCTTTGAGTTTGGCTATTGGAATGTTTTGGTTTCCTTTAGGACAGGTTGGTAGCTAGATTTTCAAACTGTTGTTCCTAAAATTTGGTTCCTTCGCTCGAGCATCACTTCTTGCGCTCGAGCAGTCTTCTTGAATTCTTAGTACTTTTATAGGTCTACAAAACTACTAAGAAGTGGTATTCTCCGCTCGAGCGAAGCTTCTTGTGCTCGAGCGGTGTTGGCTCAAGCAGCCCTTGTTGCGCTAGAGCGTTGGTCTTCTGTTTGTAAAACTTCTGGGAGTTTGTATTCTTCACTCAAGCTAAACTTTTTGAGCTCGAGCAGTGCAACTTATTGTGTTTGGTCGCTTGAGAGACACTTCTTGCCCTCGAGCGATCTTTGCATATATTAGTTTGTGAGAAGCCACTTTTAAGTCACTTTTTCATATCTCTCTCTCTGTAAACTTTTCCAAACCCTAGATCCACACCGTCTCTCTCTAAAACTCTACTTCTCTCTACAAATACACCTAGATTCGTCGAGTTCCTCACCCGTGTCCCTTTGTTAAAAAGGTTGAGCACGCCATGGGCTTCCTTTAGATCCGAACAAAGTTGGGTTTCGACATTTTTGAAGTATCTTCGTTCTCTCTCTCAACTTCTAAGCTTGAGATAGGGATATTTCCACAATTTTTATGAGTTTTAACTTAGTTATTTGTTATTTCTAAACAATATTACGATTTTGGATATTTTATAACAAACCTTGGGTTTTAGGTAAACAAAAAATCAAAATAGGGATTTTTTTCAAATGGATCCTTGAAAATAATGTTGAGTTGGGAAGAAATAGTCGATTTTGATACTTGGGATTGATTTTGGAAAGAAAATTGATTTTGCCCTAAATGCCTCAAATGTTGATTTTATATAAATAATGACATTGATATTGAAATTGTGAAATTGGATTAATGTTGATGATGATGATGGAGTTAGATATGTATTGTCACTCACCTCTTGAAAATTTAGAGAGTTTACCTTTATTGATAATTGTTTATCTGTTTAGAAATATATTTTTTTGGGCTATTGGTGGAGAATAGCTATTATTGTTGTAGAAACTGCACAAGAATTAGGAGAATTGAAACTATTTTCTCATTCATTTTCTTTGAGCATTATCTTACACTTATACAGTGAAAATGTTTATCATTTTGAGAAATATGGGTGAATCTAGGAAACACATATTATCTCGTTGAAACAAGTTGGCCTGAGTGTCCATGGTGAAAGTCCTAAAAACCACGCGTATACATAGGTGCCGAACCACGGACAAAATATCCATAAAGTAGCAATAGTAGTGCATGCAGAGTCTATGTTTACATGGGTGCCGCTTTACAGTTTCCCGTTGACGAAATTTCTACGAACGGTTGTATTGGTTCTAAGATTTCCAAAGTGTTATTCACTGCACTATTTTCTATTGTAATGGAAATGATTTATGAACTATGATATTAACTTGGCATTGCATGGTTTTGGAAAGACATGTAAAATGTTTTGGCACGAACATTGCATATGCGTTGACCTTATATCTTTGTTAGGAAACACATATTATCTCGTTGAAACAAGTTGGCCTGAGTGTCCATGGTGAAAGTCCTAAAAACCACGCGTATACATAGGTGCCGAACCACGGACAAAATATCCATAAAGTAGCAATAGTAGTGCATGCAGAGTCTATGTTTACATGGGTGCCGCTTTACAGTTTCCCGTTGACGAAATTTCTACGAACGGTTGTATTGGTTCTAAGATTTCCAAAGTGTTATTCACTGCACTATTTTCTATTGTAATGGAAATGATTTATGAACTATGATATTAACTTGGTATTGCATGGTTTTGGAAAGAGATGTAAAATGTTTTGGGACGAACATTGCATATGCGTTGACCTTATATCTTTGTTAAGATTCATATATTGTGTGGATTATTTCTACTGGGCTTTGACTCATCCTATGTGGGAAAAACATTTCAGGTGCTGATAATATACCTCCGCCAAGACAATAGCTTGGGAGGACTTGGATCGAGAGCTTCTTTTGTGTATTTGTTGTATTTATTTTGTACAAGCCAACGGCCTTAACTGTATTGGACTTAAGTCCACTTTTATTGTGACCAAGCACCGTCTTGGAAAGATGTAAGCCTTTGGGGCATTTCTTATTTGTTTAACTTTCATCATGTCTCTTAATTATGTCACTCTTTTGTAAAGCTTAATTGTAAATCAATGAAAGATAATCACTTTATCATTGTGATCACATATCGATGTTGAGTATGGTTTATAGTAATTATTTCAGGGCGTTACACATCGTATAAACTACAATGACTATTTGTATAATTTAGCCTATTATTATTATATGATAATAATCTTGTAACCCATGTGGATGCTCCATGGGTTATGGATTGGGTCAAATCTGATCCAATTCCTAACATCTCCCACTCGTCCACATCTGGTATCATTTCTCAATCTCTTATTCAATCTACTCCTCATATGAAAAAATGAAGCGTGCGACCTGATGAGAAAGTATAAGATAAGAACGCTATATTAAGTCACCATCAAGCTAACATAGCACATTACTCAAAAAAACTCGTCTATACCCCAAATTCGTTAGATCACACCAAATCATGCATTTTAAATCCCTCAAAAACTCATAAACATGCTTGACTTCAAATGTTGTATTTGTATTCGTGACTATATCGAGAAAACAAATCTGACATAATCACCCGAGCAATGAGCTATAAGACATGGGTATAAAATCTAAGAATTTATCCTAGCCACTCATGTCAATCCATTCAAACTTGACTGCTTTCCTAGACATGGTTCTCTAGATCGTATTCATCATGATCCTAGGGTGACATGCTAAAGTAGTAACATCGAGTCATCACTTCATGATATAGTTCCAAGTTCAAGGGCATAGCATAAACCAACTAATGGCTTAATAGGGCTCACACAGTGCTAGAGTCGGGATTCATCTAGCTACTCACTTAGATGGTCGACTATAGCACATACAATATGATATGTTTGTTATGACGAAGCTCCCACTCAATTGGGTTTGTCACTTTCTAACGCCATACGAATCTTAGTATAGTTGCTATACAAGCGCCTAACCTGAGTTTCTTAGCCTAGTCACTTATCAAGCGCTTATCTAAGATCTCACATTCGGCTATATTCACGAAAAGTAGTGAAGAAAATAAATTTCGTCACTAAATAAAAATAATCTATGACGAATTATAAAATTTTGTTACATATAATAAAAAATAAAAATAATAGGTGATGAAATTTATTTTTATCAACAAATACTTCTTTTTAGGTGAGGAAAAATTCAGTTTCGTCACTGAAGGTTTTCCAACTAATTTTTTTTTGTGGCACCAAAATTTTGAGACTTTTCATGAGAAAATTTTTTGTCACCAATTATAAAATTATTAGTGAGAAAAATATTTTCGTCACCAATAATTGTACACATATATTTTTTGAGAAACTTGATTTTAAATTTTTTAAGACCATTTGGTGAGAAATACATTTTGTCACTAATAATTTTTAATATTTTGAGACTTTTTAGTGAGGAAATTATTTTGTCACTAATTTTGAAGGGAAAATTTTGACATATTGGGCAGTAATGAAAAAAAATAGTCTACTAACTTCCCTCCCTTTTTTTTTTTTTTTTGTTTCTCAGTTTTCCTCTCCCCTCTCTCTCACTCTCTCTCTATCTCAAAACAAAACACAAGTTAATTAGCTTTCTAAGTAACCTATGGTGACGAAAAATAGTGAAAAAAATAAATTTCATCACTAAATAAGAATAATCCGTGATGAACTATAAAATTTTGTCACATGTAATAAAAAAGTAAAAATAATATGTAAAATTTTGTTACATAATTTTAGAAAGGATATGAATAATTCTTAAACATTTAAAAATGAAACAAGAAAAAAAATTAGAAAACAAAACTCAAACCAAACAGGCACCTCACTTTTTTACAATCCCTCCCACATTCCCCTCTCTTTTTTTGCTGGTAGGTAAAAACCCTCATCTCTCTCCACGATTTTCGCTCATTCTCTCATGATTGGAAATTCTCTCTCTCTCACGGTTTCTGCCGTTTGTCGTTGCTGTCATTGTGCTACACCTCACTACTTCATTCTGCTTCGGTAGGTGGTCCCTCTTTGCTCTGTATCCCACCCAAGGAATTTCGGTTTGGTTTCATTTATATTAATACATTGTTCCTCCACTCGGTTTTGGGTTGGAATTCTAGTATTGACCCTAGTTTATCTAGTTCTAGATTTTATAAGAATTTGAATGGAACTGACATGGTGCAATCTTATCCTTAAGCATGAGATCACCCATGAAGATGGATTAATGGCTCTCTGTTTAGGAAATAGATTAACTTGTTTCATATCATACACAAATTGAAAAAGATATAAGATGGCAATGATTTCTAGGGTTTTAAATGCCCAAAATTGCTATTCTATATTTGAAGAATATAGTAGAATGCTTTTAATAATGTCAGTGATAAGTTTTGGTGTTCTAGTGGCTTCATATGAGGAGATTGATATTAACTGGATTGGTTTGGTTTACCAAATGGGACGTGTTGTTGGGGAAGCTTTGAGGCTTATATTCATGGAGATTTTTGTTAAAAGGAAGGGTCTCAAACTAAACCCTATTTCTGTCATGTACTACGTTAGTCCCTGCAGGCATGTGTTTTCATCTACCAAAGTTTAATTGTTATCATTATTTCTTTCACCATTTGATGTTTATATGCAGAACCTTTTTGCCATGTGAACGGAATCATAGTTCTTTTGTAGTGCTCTTTGCTTGTTCATTCTGTGGATTTTTCTAGAGAAGCCAAAGATGGATGCCCAAGGGACATGGAGCTTTCAACCTGTTATCCTAACACTCAACTCTCTCTGTACTTTTGCACTCAATCTATCAGTTTTTCTTGTGATCTCGCATACAAGTGCTTTGACAATTCGTGTTGCTGGAGTTGTCAAGGATTGGGTGGCTGTCTTACTATCAGCCCTTCTGTTTGCTGATACAATGCTGACAATGATAAATCTGTTTGGTTATGGCATTGGTAATCTTTCGATAACAAGTACTTTTGTTTTGGGCTTTCACTATATTTATTGTCTCAAAATTTGATATTAGTATTATGATATTTATTTATATATTAAGTGTGCCCTTTGTATATTCTCAATGTTGTACTGTTTATATTCTAGTATTATAGATTGTTCACATTGGAAATCAATTCCAAGAAAGTAGAACAAAAAACTGCAGTCTGTCATACTTTAAAAACGGCATTGTATAGGTGGTTATCCTTTGTATTATCCATAAAAATTTATTTTTCTTGAGCTTTATAAAAAATTTGTGTTTTCAATGTTATGGAATTCACATTTTCTTGATGTGGATACTGTTGCTTATCTGACCATTGAGATATGCCTTTTCTTCATATTTTCGCTGGGGCAATGCTTGGCATATTGTGTGTTGCATTTGGTTTTCTCTTTTTCCTGTACTTTTTAATGTATTATTTTTTTTCCATTCTCTGATAAAAAATACTATTGTTTATTTCATTTGCATTTCAGATAGTGACCGTGCTTAGGATCGAGATGAGAACCCTGTTGATCACTCAGAAAAGAAATTTCAATTTTAATGTACTACAATAATGTTTCTACTGTCTTTAATACTATTTGTGCAAGACAAAAAGATATGTGATTTAATTTTGTTTTTGATTAGACATGTGATTTCATGAAATAAAGATTACCTATCTAGGAAGCATGGACATGCCTCCTACGTCGGCATGTCTATGTCTGACATGTGTCCAATTATGCCCTTTAATTATTTTATTTTTTAAAAAGCAGACATGCTAGCATATGTGAGGCACATCTGTGGCCTTGGTTCAAGTTTGGGAAAAAATAGAGTAAAATGAAAAGAACTTTTTTATACCAAGTAATTACTCCTTCAGGCTTTTTAATTTTTCAAACCATAAAGACTAATAATTTCCAATTTGTTTGTGAATCCTTATGCCTTCTTAAAATAGACTTTAGGGTGTTCTCAGTTATATTTTCAATTTTTTTGTCTCCATTTTTTGAAAATTGTAGTTTTAGTATGTCCATATTGTGTTGCTTCTGCATCTTGTTTTTACATCTGTGTTTCTTAGATACCTATTGACCTAGCAAAGAAATATGGTTTTTTATGCAGCCATTGCAGGTGTAGCTGCATATAACAACCACAAGTTGAAAAAGGAAGCTTCTTAAGGCTCCTCTGATGAGTCTTAACATGCTGAATCTACGCCATTAACTTCATCCTCAACTATTGAAAGTAGATAAATAGAGAGCGGTCTCACAGTTTAGTCTGAGGTATGCAACTTTAATTGTTCAATTTGACTCTTCCCTCAAAGTGTAAGGAGTTTGAAGTAAGATTTGTGGCACACACTGTTTGACCCTGAGAAGCCACTGGGGTATGCACAATTTTGATTTGATAAGGCTCATTTTGTCAATGGGAATTTGATGACAATGGGATTTATTTAGGATGAGGTAGCTATTTTAGACATGGAAAATAATCCCACAACTTTGTTGGTAATGACCTGTTGCAAGGATTTTCATGTTCAAGGGCGACGACAAGTAGAAGTTGGTGACTTCAGCTGAACCCCTAGAACTTTGAAGACCAATATTAAATTTGTAATATTTTAACAGTTTCAATGGAGTGATATATGTAAGTGAACCCCCGATTTTTTTCCCCTGAAGCCCCTTCTCTCTGTGTTGAAACTTTGGATTTGATGACTCCAAAGTGCCATCCTTTATGTGTTCTATTTTTTTATTTTTTTCCAATAGTTCTAAAATATTGTGTTTTTTTAATTATATTTTGTGTTTTATTTTAATATTGGAACTAGAATCTGTTACACTTAGTTTCTATCACAACGGTTGAATTTAGTTCCAAGTTATCACTTGTGAGCTTAATATTATAATGTTTTATTAGATTTACTAAAATGAGATGGAATAGAATAAAATGATTTTTATGGAAGAGTTGGCAGCCATGTATTGATTATCCTTTTATTTTGACAATTAATATAGAAAGTTTTGCTTTCAATAAATTAAAAAACAATCTATTCCAATCCACTTACTGTTTTCACTAACCTACCAATGGCCTAGGTTTCCTTGGTTGGGTTACAAGTTTTTGCGTAGGTGCTATCGTCCATGCTACGCAATTGCCTCTCAATAAGCAAACTATAAGATGAACTGAGTTGCTTTGAGAAGCTCTAGCTTCGGTTTGTTTAGAGCTTTGCAAAATTTGTATTATGTCAAACACATGAACCTCAAGTCTAGACTCCAAGCTTCTTTGTTCAATATGTGAGCTTGATCAATGTGTAGCTTGGCTCGTAAGGCCCATTAACATATGGGTATGTGAGATAATACCTAAAAGGAAATCTTGTGCAAAAGTGAATCAATGTCATATAAGAGGGGCACTATCAGAGTGCAAAGGTGTTCATGCTTCGAGTAATAATAATTTAAGTTGCTTCAGGGAAGCTAGTTGTAGCCCTCCATTAACTTAGCTTATATGGGTGATAGGGAAATCTCAAAGTTGTTTCTAATTATAATAAATGGAAAACGCAAATCCCATATAGGCTTACACTAATTATTTAATTTCATAAACAATAGTGATGATGTCACTTGAAGTCTTTGACAAATGCTTATTGACTGTTATTCTTATTTTGGGCACCAGCTTTTTCTAAATATTTATGAAATATATCCCAAATTATGGGTTTCATCTTTTTGGTCTTTTCATGGAATCTAATTATTTGTTGCTTTTGTTGCAGGCAATAAGGTTAAGAAGCTCTATGACTTGTGCAACATAACTGTGAATAAGAATGATGTGTTCGGTGATAGCAGTGCCTTGTCCCCCGGAGGGGTACGAATTGGTAAGAACTGTTGATTTGAGGGCATCATTTTACTGATAACAGATAGATCTCACATGAGAATGTGACTAAAAGAGTCTTTTGAATTGACTCCTAGATCAACTGACTTTCATGGATTACTATAACATTTTCTCCCATAAAAACCAGTGAATCTAGTAAGGGAGGAGGGAGGTGGACTTGAATTGAAAGTGTGGTTTTTTTTTATCACTGAATACTTTAGCTCAAACCCATTTACCCCATTTACCCAAATAAATGATTTAACTAGGCAAAATGGGTTTTATTTGACTGCTCTGGCCTTGTGGTACTCAACATTTCATTAAATGCTTAGATGTCAAAGTGGAATTTAAAGAATAATTGATATGAAAACTTGAAGTTGCTTGCTTGTATCCACCAAATTACATGTCTAGCAATTTTGACAGATTTGGTTTGGTGCGTGTGTTTGTTTGGTGATGCAGTAAATTGATTGCTTTCACGATTTGGGTTGATTGCTTTTTAATTTACTCAAAACTTCGAAACTCACTTGTTTTCGGTTGAAATATGAATCAGAAAACCAGATAGTTTGACATTCATTTCTTTGATATAAATGAGTGAGGAGATTCTCTGTTTGCAGATACTCCGGCTATAACTTCCAAAGGGTTGTTTGAGAAGTATTTCTAGCAGATTGCAGAGTTCCTCCACCGCTCTGTGACAATCACATTGAAGATCCAAAAGGAGAATGGAAGGCATGCCAAAAAAAGGCTGAGAAGTAAAAATAATGTACTCCCCTGTTAGTTTCCCTGTTCCCAATACTAGACCTGTTGCACTTGCTGGTATTCATAGAAGTAAAAATCTTATGAGATGAAAAAGCCTTACAATTTTCTTAATTTAAGATCATGTTGCTCGAATGAAGATAATTAGGCTTGCAAGACTAAGTAAAACTAAGTTGGTGACATATGTTGTATGCGCCATCATATGATTGCATCCTTTTTAATAATGCTTTAATTTGTTTTTATTTCTTCTGCTATCACCATTCCCATTGCTTTCTCCTTCAAGTTGAGATAACTTACAGATACTTTGTGCATGTAGACAGCGACTATACCACGCACTCAACGAGGACATGGATGGCTGAGGCCTGCCACCAGAGTGGTTGCGCTTTCTCAAAGTATAATTCAGGTGTCTGATCATTGAAATCTCATTCTGCTATAATATTTTTTGGATTTCCTGGGTGTATCATTGTATTGTTTGCTGTCATTCTTATTTATTTATTTTTATTATTATTTTGCTAATTTACATATCAATGCACATTTATTCTTGTACCAATTTAGAGGGTGACTAGACACTGTACAGAAATGGAACTCCTTTGTTTTATTTTATTTTTTCTATTACATTTTAAATGAAATCTATATCTGTTACATTTTAAATATGCTGAATGTTTGATTTTAAATTATTTTTTAGAATATTTTGGAGTGATGCTTTTGTCTAATACAAACATATTTGTTCATGTCACTCACATTATATGTATATACACGTTAAAACATAAACTTGTAATGTGAAATATCAATTTTTGTTATGTAATGCATAAAGTGAGGACATTTCAAGACCTTAGAGACAAGACCCCACAGGCGCGTGCTAAATTGCTGACTCAAGTTGCCAGTTTCTTAAGAAACAAGGTTTTAATGGGCAATTTAGGGGAGGGGCATCCCTAGATCGCTTTTTTGGTAAGTCTATCTTGCTTTATCTTTTTATTTTTCTCATGTTGGTTAGTATATATTGGTTAAAACACAACTGTTTAAGAAAGTTACACTTGCAACATTGTTAAATTGCTAGTACAAACATTGAAACATTGAAAATGATCATAACACACTAAAATGCTTAGCTTTATATTGTTTATGTCGATCTATCTTAGTTTGAATTTTGTGAAATTGAAAACCCATTTAAAACAATCAACCCATATCGGTATTTCTCAGTTCTTTCTAAGCAAAGTTGGAGAAACCGTGAGTGAGATAGTGAAGTTGTATCAAAGGGACATCCACTGGTAGATAGTGAAATTTATGGAGAAAACTAGAGTTAGTAGAACAAAGATCCAAGTTTCATTGAACCATTCTATATGACAATAAAACTCATCATGTTGCTTGATGGTTTTCAATATTGGCAGGTTCATAGGTGTTCATATAACTTGCAAGAACTTGCCCCCAATTAGATTAGCTGTTGTTTTGTGATTTAGTACAAATGAAAGTCAAATTTTGGTAGGAAATGCATTTTTGCTAAATTGGTTTACTCATATATAAAATTATTTATATATGAGTTTAGATGTAGTTGATAATATATTAATGTTTTCCTTGTTTATTTTCTTTGCAGATTGATTTTTGGATAACATTTGGAAGCATACTTGCAAATCAAGATCAAGTGTTAATTTTTTTTGTAGGCTGATAATTAGTTCTACTTGTAATTGATCAAGTGTTGATTTTTATTTATTTATTTATTTATTGTGGATTGATACTTAGTTCATTTTGGGATTTGCTTTGATTGTCTTTTTGTTATAGTTAATGAATTGTTATTAAATTTGTTTGATGGATATATTTTGGTTTATAATATCAATTGTTTATTGAATTTTTTGTGGAGTGGTGTATAATAGCTAATGGATTTCTTAGTAAAATTTTAAGGCTATTGAAATATGAGCAAAGATATTTGTGAAATAATAATTTAAATTTAAATTGAAATATAAAATATGGAACAATAAGTTTTGTGACGAATTTTTTCGTCACATGTACTTATTGTGACAAAGTGCTTATTCGTCACCAATAAATAACTTTTTGTGACAAAATTTGATGTTGTTTATATATGAAAAGTTTTGTTAATTTTGTTGTTTGGTGACTAAAAATTTTGTCATGTATAAATCTTATTGCCACGAAATATATTTCGTCACTTATATCAAACTTTTGAAGACGAAAACTTTCGTCAACTTTACATCTTACCATGAGGAAAATATTTCCTCGCTAATGATCAACATCTGTGACAAAAAATTTTGTCAACTAAAATTATATATACGGTACTGAGTAATTATTTGGTGACAAAAATGAGATTTTTTTGTGAAAAAATGTTGTCTAATTGGTGACAAAGGTTTTCGTCACTAAAGTAATTTTATTAGTGACGAAATTCTTTTTCCTCACTGTGATCTTTAGTGACGATCATTCAATGACGAAATCGGTGACGAAAATATTTCCTCACAAATATCTATAGTGACGAAATTAGCTCTTTGGTGACAAAAATAATTCGTCATTCAAGGCCCAACTTCTTGTAGTGGCTCAGTTGTGGAAAAAATTCATGTTCAACTTGTATAAGTCTCATCTTAGCAAATGCCAAGGTGACATCTACTAATAAACCAGTTTTGTTCACTCCCAAATAACAAAACATTTATCTCACTCACTCTCCAAGTGCCAAGATAATCTATGTCTCATCCTACTCACTTGACAAGCGCCAGGGTGATTGCCAGTGTAAGAGGGCTGATCTTAGCTAGGTGACATGCATATAATTCAAAATATGTGCTCAAACAATCCATCATTATACAAAATAAAAGGGAAAACTAATTTCATTAATGCATAAGATCAAAAAAGGGTCCATCTGATATAAGCATATCAAATCCTACATAAGCCCAAACCCTTAGCATGTCTATGAAAAACATCACTTGCAATGGGTTTAGTCAATGGACCAGTAACCGTGTCGCTAGTAGAGACATGCCTCAGAACCACCAATCCCTGCGCAATGATATCTCGAATAAAGTGATAACAAGTATTAATATGCTTAGTTCTCCCATGATATTTGGGATTTCTCACATAAGCTATAGCAGTTGTGCTATCACAGTATACCACAGTAGCCTCATCCAAATGCCCTGTTACACTCAAGCTCTGCAAGAATCTCCTTAACCATATTGCTTCTTGAACGGAAGCAGTGCAAGCCACGTATTCTGACTCAATCATGGCCAAGGAAACACATTGTTGTTTGTTACTGCACCACGAAATGGCTCATCCTTCAAGTACAAAAGCATAACCAGTAACTGATTTACGCTCGTCTCTATCAGCAGACCCATCTGAATCACTAAATCCGACCAATCTAAGAGAACCACCTTGAAAACATAAAGCAAAGTCTGCAGCCCCTTGCAAATACTGAAATATCCTCTTAACTGCAACCAATGTATAGCTCCAGGATTACATTGATATCGGCTAACCCTTCCAACTGCGAAACATATGGCAGGTCGAGTACACATCACAGCATACATCAGACTACCAATAGCACTAGCATAGGCAACATTAGCCATCTACCTCTATTCTTCCTCTATTTTAAGACTTTGCATGGTGCTAAAAATTTGACATTTCTAAATTGGAGTGTCTATTAGTCTCGAATAATGCATACGAAACCACTCTAAAATCCTCTTTATGTAAGCCACTTGAGACAAACTAAGAAATCTCTTAGAACGATCTCTAGAGATCTTAACTCTTAGCACATAATCTGCCTGACCCATGTCATTCATCTCAAAAGTAGAAGACAACCACCTTTGAGTGGAACGAATCAACTGCAAATCATTCCCATCTAACAAAACATCGTCCACATACAATGATAAGATAAGAAACGTATTCCCAATCCTCTTGACATACACGCAATGATCTTCTTCCATCATCACAAAACCCATAGTGACAATAGCTTGATGAAACAAAATATACCATTGCCTAGACGACTGTTTCAGGCCATAAATAGAATGATTCATGTGACAAACCTTGCGTTCTTTTCCTTCAACCTGAAAACCTACTAATTGATCCATATAGATCTCTTTGTCTAGTTCTCCATGGAGAAATGTTGTCATTATATCCATTTGGAACAATTCCAAATCTAGAAGCGCAACGATAGCTAGAATGAGGCGAATGGAGGCAAATCCCACCACAAGAGAGAATGTCTCCTCATAATCTATACCTTCTTGTTGGGTATAGCCTTTCGCCACAAATCGAGCCTTGTACTTGTCAATTGATCCATCAGTCTTGTGCTT